TTAAAGTTATGAGCTTGAGCAAAGATGGAGGTTGTAGCAGAATCAGTGTCAGCGGTTAGACCAATGCAGTAAGTCTTGTATGAGGTTGTGAGAGGAAGATCCGAGTGGAAACAATTGCATTTAGATGTATGGTTCAGAGTAAAAACCGAGATGATAAGAGTGAGATTGCGTGTTTGCATATCTTATCAACTGTGGTTTTTGACCAGTATTAATCAATCTCCATGGATTGTAAGTTATGATCCATGTAGGTGTAGATCTATGTACATTCACATACATGGGCCAGGAATATAAAGCTAAATACATGTGTATTGGTAATAAATACGAGAATACTATAACCTGCATTAAAGACATAGTCATCTGCTGGAATTCTAGTGTGAAATAAACGCTAATGCGCATTCAACTTTCGGTGAATGATGTATTGATAACAGTGATATAGAATGGGGAATTTGATAGTCAAATTAGCCAGACTTACTAATAAGTTATTCTTGGCATTCCAAGATATATCACATTTCAACACACATATCTTGGCACACATATCTTGGCACATGTTTCCTATGGATTTAGAATAAGGCCTTGGTCTGTGACATTACCCTCCCCTTATTGGAGACGAAATCCCATAAGGCTTTGAGTTTTGTTTTAGTTGCTTCTTAGTTTGTTATTGTGTATCACTGGCATGAGGCTTGGAGGGATATATTTCATGAAATTTTGGGACTAATTCTTTCAAAATTTGGGCTTCAGAGTCTGAGCTTGCCCAATCATCTTGAGGTCAAAAACCTTTCTATTGTACAATGTAATTCAATTCACCATCAATCCACTGTGTCCCAATTACTCTTTCAATGTTGTATTCAGGTGTGTCATCTTCGGCCTCTAAAATTTGTTCTGGTTCCAATGTTTGTCCAGCTAATTGGTCATTAGCCACAGGAGACAGCAGGAAGACGTAGAAAACAGGGTGGAATTTTGCAGAGGAAGGTTGTTCCAACCTGTACTCTTAGTTTCTGAAAGATTCCATGACTTGAAATGGACCTTCCTTTTTGAAATCCAGTTTACAACAAGGTCAAAGTGATTCAATAATCTTGTAGATTAACCACTCCTTGTCTCCTGGTCTAAAATCTCCTGCAGCAGTTCTACTTTTATTAGCTTGTTCTGAATGTTCTGCAAAGTGAAGCAAAATATCATCATAATCAACTTGTCAATCTCTTTGAGTTTTGATATTAAACTTCAGCCTGACACCAATCAAACTGAATTGACGCTGGCCCTGGATCTCTGTGCTATGGCGCAGAAAGCACACATCTTGAACGAGAATTAAAGCTGTAAAAAACTAGAAACAGGGAAGTGCCAGTGGCCTGAGAGTCATGATTATTGATTGCAAATTCAACTGTTAGAAGGAAGCAGACCCAAGTATTTTCCATAAAGTTGACATAAGCTCTAAGTTGTTGCTTAACTCGACCATTTATTTGCTCTATTTGGCTGTCAGTTTGCGGATGGAATGCAGTCAACAGGCAGTGAACAATCTGAAATACTTTGCAGACCCATTTCCAGAGCTCATCTGTATATTGGCTACCTCTGTCAGTTTCACAGATCCGTAAATAGAATTTTAATACTAATATTAATTTGCAATAAGATCAAGGGATAGCTAATTAAACCCATCAATTTTATAATAGCTTCCCCTATACAATTAGTCATGTTAAAAGTCATGTAAGGATATACAAGAGAGTCATGAAGAGTAGGACAAGAACACTGTTACGGCGTGCGCTAAGGATACTGGGGATCTCCGTCTGCCGAAGGTAAGGTATTAATAACTGTTCAGATTACAGTTGCTAACGAAGGATACTTAGATATGATTTGATTGGCGAGGTGCCAGGTAGTCTAAGGTTGTGGAACCACAGAATAGTCGAAAGACATGAAGTCAAGTAATCGAGTTGCCGAGCAGGCAATCAAGAATGATAACTCAGGGTGAACAGAAGTACGAAGAATGTAACAAATAACGAAAGACTGAGAATATCGGACTGTGAGAATATACGATTATAACATTATGTAAATCTAGATTGCAAGATCAAAGATCAAAAGAATGAAAGATTGAGAAGCTGGAGAGCTACTATGTGGCAGCTCCAGCTTCCTTAAGTCTAACTCGAGATAGTACTTGAACTCAACTAAGACTATGACAAATGACAAATGCCTTCATGACGCCAGCCCCTCCATCTCTAACTGTCAGAGTTTTCTCGGAAACCTTCTCAGTAAACCTTTTCCCAAAACCTTTCTTAAAAACCTTCTCATATCACCTTTTCCTCAGAAACTTCTCCTTGAAACCTCTTCAAGGATGCCTGGCCATAACAAACACAGCCATCAATGCAAAGATATTGGCAAGAATTGATTACGATTAATTCCGGTTGGCAAAGGCTTCTACTCTTGTATATAATAGTTCGGCGTGAGAGAGATTTACTCCTCACGCAACGTCTTCTTTACTTACCCTTTACAATACATTTGTTTATCCATCTCTTCTTCGGGAAGACCATTTATCCATTGCCCAGTTCTTCATCAGCAAGACCCACGTGTAACACCTAATGCAACAAGTTGCCCATTTATCTCTTCCTAGAGAAGACCTGTCATTCCTTTGACCCATTTTTAATCTTCACTTACCACCTTGATCTTCACTAGACTATACAACGCACCCCGTGGAACACTGTCAATTTCTCATCCTTGAGAGTCAGACACAATCAAATCAGGTAGGCCATGAAGTCCGAGGTAGTTGCAGTAAAACATATACGCAGTGTTTCTAGTGGTCAGGTTGTTACAAGGGGTGATGGGCACCTGCTTAGTCATCTGGTCTACAATCACAAATATTGAATTAAACTCTGTGCTACCCCAGTCTCTGCTGACAAACAAGTCTACCACAAAATCCATGGCTATATGTCTCTAATGTTCTCTAGCAATAAGAAGTGGATGTAGTAACTCTTGTGCTCCCTTGCAAGAGAGCTTAGATCTCGAATAGGTATGATAATTTCAGTTAGAATTTAGAATAATTGGGGCTATCACGTAGGCCACGTTGTTGATACACATGCAACTGTAAATTCTGTACTTGGTTTCACTTTGGTAGTTACTTGAATCAATGCGCTCTACATCCTCAATGACTGAGGGGTCATTATTTCCATAATAGGTTATGAGCCCGAATTGTTGCTCGAGCAATCAGGTTGTATTGCCCGGAGTTTGATACTATCTTTGTTATGGGCAAGTAGAAGGGCTTATGCTCTTCTTACGCCAAATTAATCCAACAAGGAGGTTGTTGCCTTCTTGAACCCAAGATAAGTCCATCGCCTTTGAGTTGCAATCTCTAAAGAAAAGTGAATGGCCGCAGCCTGAGAAGACAGGAGGTTATTGCCTTCATTAGGGAAAGCACAGGTTGAGTACAGAAGATCGGGGTCGCTGCAAAACCCTTGTGAGGATTGATGATTCCTAAACGCACCAGTAGCCAGCCCGTTGATGGACTCTGAGAGATAGAGCCCATGGGTCAAATGAGTTGACCCGAAAATTTCAAAAAAAAAGAACACCAGCCTGGTAGCTTCAGTACGAAAGCTGCTATTAACATCAAATTCTGACAGCTACTTTACGGCAGCTATATCAATTATAATTATTTGACTCTCTTCCAAAGTTTGTTGAATCTTAAATCTGACAGTTCCTAGCCAAAAGCTGTTGCAAAATTTTCGCTGCTGATTTCTGATAGCAGCTCAAACCTCAACTCAGTAGTGTCACAAACCATCTCTGGGATGTTGCGTCGGGCCAGGGCAACCAAGTCATGACGTGCACACAATAACAAAATTTAGGAATTGTAATGATTACAGTTTTGTGATAGCAACAGTTGCCATTCGGAGTACTAGTTAGCTGCTGTGCTATGGCTGTGGACTACTACACCCTTGGTTATAGTATTGATGCTCGTGTCACGGCACGGCATTCTGCTCCGCCATGATATACAATTACGTGGAGGGAGGATGTGAGACTGATGGCTGATGCAGGAAGGAGCACGGACGCGGCGATTTAGTGGAAACCCACCCGAATAGGAATAGCCTCAGGGCTTTTTGTAATGAGATCCTGTTCTTTTCTATTCTTCTCCAGCTTAGTATTTGCTTCACAGATTGAATTATCGCCATACAAGCTGTACTTTCACTTGTGCCTATTCTACGCCGTGACAGCTCGTGTACTTGAGGAAGCTCTAGGACTGGATGTGTACTGTAGCTTTTTGTCTTTTAAATTACTCATGTTTTAGAATCTAATTATTAATCTTATATCTCGTCCTGATTACCAGCTTCTGTCTTCGTCCTCATCTTTGTCCCCGTCATTGTCATTGTCCTAGTCTCCGTCCTCGTCCATGACGAGTAACTGTTGAAATATGATATATCTTGGAATGCCAAGAATAACTTATTAGTAAGTCCGGCTAATTTGACTATCAAATTCCCCATTCTATATCACTGTTATCAATACATCATTCACCGAAAGTTTAATGCGCATTAGCGTTTATTTCACACTAGCATTCCAGCGGATGACTATGTCTCAAATGCAGGTTATAGTTTTCTCGTATCTATTACCGACACACATGTATTTAGCTTTATATTCCTGACCCATATATGTTTATGTACATAGATCTACATCTACATGGATCATAACTTACGATCCATGGAGATTGATAAATACTGGTCAAAAACCACAGTTGATAAGATATGCGAACACGCAATCTCACTCTTATCATCTCGGTTTTACTCTGAACCATACATCTAAATACAATTGTTTCCACTCGGCTCTTCCTCTCACAACCTCATACGAGACTTACTGCATCGGTCTAACCGCCGACACTGATTCCGCTACAACCTCCATCTTCGCTCAAGCTCATAACTTTAACAGTAACTCCCTCTCAACCGCTATATTTGTTTAAGTTTATATTGTTGTGGGGGAGATTAAGTCAAAATATAAAAGAATGATGGGTGACAAAAATACGGAACCAAGATAGAAAGCTAACCAAGTGGAGCTTGGTGATGGTATGAGAGAGCACTTACACGATACACTCTTGGATAAAGGTCTTTGAAAAGGATACAATAGTGGGGCATGTTTCTTGTAGATGGAAACAAGACAATGGAACACTAATGATTTGGATGGAATAAACACTGGAACTACCACAGCACGAAAACTGGGGGAGTGTACTTGAGAGCTGAGAAAGTCTGACACTTAGTCGCCAAATTCTGGGGAAGCCTTTGAAGTTGACAACATCAAATTGAAAGGATACTCTAAAAATGCTTAGGACTCTACGGTGTTTCAGGGAAAACGTGAGGAGATAAATCAAGTCCAAAGGATATGTTTCTTAGATTGTTTCATCGAAAATTGAAAGACCAGTTTGAGAGCAGACAACTAATCATTCAAGCAAACATCTTATGAAGCAAAGATACAAGAAGATAAGGTATAGGCCCAATAAGTCTATGGGGGAGTGTTAGAATATAGAATAATTGGGGCTATCACGTAAGCCACGTTGTTGATACACATGCAACTGTAAATTCTGTACTTGGTTTCACTTTGGTAGTTACTTGAATCAATGCGCTCTACATCCTCAATGACTGAGGGGTCATTATTTCCCTAATAATTGTTGTGAAGGTAAGAGCTTACAGAGGTTAATTGGCAGCAGGTTTACAGATGATTATTGATGAGTCAATGTGAACTGCTGATATATTTGAAACTCAGAACTATGTCAGGCTTGTTGGCTAGTTCGGAGATCAAGGGTCGGAACAGGACGGAGTCGGGACAGGATGTGATCGGAACAGGACGAAGGCGAGACAAGACGGAGACGGAACGGGACAGAGTCGGCGTATACGGTAAAGCTTATCATAATCGGATTAATCTAAAGTCTAGAATAATTACAAGACAAGAAGCTACAGAACAAATTCAGTCCTAGACCTTCCTTAAGTACTCAAGAGCGGCTACTACAATCAGGGGTATGGTAGTCTACAGCTTTAACACAGCAACTGATTGCTTATGTTGATTAGTAACTGTTGCTATCATAACATTGTAACCATTGCAATGCATTGACTATGTTACTAGGGAAGTTCCTGACTTGGTTGACCAGACTAAACGCAGCATCTCAGCATTAGCCTATGGCACAATGGTAGTAACAAGCAGGCTGTTTTCCTCGTGAGAAAGCCGGTCTGTGACAAACTATGAGGATTTAGGAGGTAGAAAGAGCTGATTTTATACACATCTAACGTAGCTTGACTCTCGCCTTATTTACCCAAAATAGTATCACAGAATATTCTAGTCACCTCCATCTATCTCAAGGAGCCGTGTTATTAGTATTCCTTAGGGTACGAGTTTGGTACAAGTAGGTTACAGGTGTGGAGTATGATGGTGATTCCTAAGAGTAGGAGGTATAAATTCAGTGTTAGGTATAGGGTTCACGTAAGAAGTAAAGGTAAAATAAGTAGTAGGTGAGAAGGGTACAATAACGGCGGTCTTCTTTAGAGAAGAGATAAGTACGTGAAAAATAGGTATGAGTATAAACAGAAGACGTTGCGTGAAGAAGAATACTCCTTCACGCTGGATATATATGTACATCAGATAATAGGACAGCCCTAAGCTCTGTCTCGAACAGTATTACTACGCAATCCCTATGAAACGACCCTATGTTCCTGAGCTTGTCCTAATTGTTTGAGAACTTGATCTAACCCCGAGTTGTGTTTTAGAATGGAACTCCCCATGAGACACCATCCTAGTTTCCGCCACGTTTATCCATGAAAATTGAGTTGTTAGGAGACAGGGGAACGGAGGATGGGCTGCTAGATTAGGAAAAGGTGGAAAATACAGGCTGGTGCACAGACGCTGTTCATGTACTCTACAATCTCTTCACCTGCCGAGTTTAGTGAATTAATCTATCCAAAAATAATATCATACTTCACATCATCCATTAGATGATATTATCAATTGTCGGGATGCACATCTAGCATCACCTTCATAGATCACCATCGTCAGTAAGAGTTCACATTTGATACCTACTGACACCCATTTGGCCACAGTGATACGCACTCAGTGTCCATTGTGCCATCACCCAGCGTGAGCGCGCCATCTCCGCGACTCACCATTGCACATGAGCCCGTGCAATTCCACCGACAGACAGCAGAGACATAATTGCTATATACCTCACAGCTCATAACCACAACAATATGTCATACTCACCATCAGAGAACGTACTGGATGAGCTGGAAGGATGTATAAATAGCCATCACTCGTAGTCATCTTACTTATCACTTCGTAAAGTTTCATTTTTCTAAAAGTACACTACAACCAGCTACTTTTTTTCACAATCATTTTTTGCGGTATCTATTTACAGAATCATAGCCAGAAAGCCGCTTTGGTAATGGTATATATATATATATAGTCTCTTAAGGGTATCAAAAGTACAATTGTCAAAATGACTGGGGTAAGATCCCTGCACATATTGCCTTAATTGGTATGGTCTTCATGCAGGCCCATGTCTAGTTTGTCGACTAGTTTTGCAAGCAGGGTTACTATCCAACAATATTCCATGAAAGTCAAAATTAATGGGGACAGTTTTCAACACCAAAACAAATGTGCAATGGTCCACATTTAAAATTTAAAATTAAAAAAGTCCATTGATATTATCTAAAAATACACATCTATTTCAAAAATAATTGCTCTGTATTACAAAAGTATACATCAAAGCCCTCAGTATGGCTTGCAACTAAAATGAAAGCGTACTTCATTTTTTGTATAATTTGTCTTCATCCCAATAATTTGTGAACCCTCCATTTCCCTTTATCACCGCTATAAATCTTTCGTGCATGTTAACCACACTTAACAGAAGCTTCTTCCGAGCAATGCATCTGCTGTAACCTATTTTATTGAGGGCATTAGAAATGAAACCCTCACTGTATCCCCAGTGGCTGAAAGGTCTCATTGCTAGTTCCAAATAGCACATCTGTCAATTTTCAGGAGATTCCCGGACAAAAGCCTCAAGCTCATCAACTTGTTCCTGTAACGGCTAAGAAGCCGGTATTTTCCTGTAGCCAGTAATGGCAAGTACTGGCGTATAACCACCAGGGGGTGAGCCGGCGCAATAGCCTTGCAGAACATACCAGAACCACTGTCGAAGGTACTAGATAAGATTCGACATGAACAAGACTGTAACTGAGACTTGGAGAAGCTACTAGAAACCATATTCTCAGAGTTGCAACTGGAATTATCTAGAAATGAACTGACCTTAGATGGAAGGGCTTGGAGTGTAGTAATCTGTATAAATACCTGGCTAAGTATCTGTAGCTTAGTTCTACATAGTTGAATTGTTAATATACCATCATCCATACAAATGCTCCCTGCTTTCTATAGTTGATCTGTGACAGTTCCGCACTTAATTTTGGTAAGGGTCCTTTACGAGGCATAGGAGTCTCAGTCTCTTGAGCACACGTAAGTTGCACTTGCCTTCTTGTGAAGCTAAGTTTGCCGGATACATGTTGTAATGTCAAGCCAAGTCTTCTTTAGGTTCTTAATTCAATACATTGATCGCGAGTTAGATGCTTGCGAACTTTAGTTTCTGAAGCAGACTTATAGAGAGACATTTTTTGCTAGAATAGAGGATGAATTGATAGCGGTGTTAAGATTCAAGGACTGTGTAGGTTAGACAGCCAAAAATGTTGCTTAAAATGTGTTTTTTCTAACCAGTTGTTTGAAGAAGACAATTGGACCATATTTCATGGCAAGCGTGGTAAGGAGGAGGGACAAACTAACCTATTACGAGCTAGCCCAACTGCGCCTACAGGGCTAATCCCTTAAACATCCCAGTTTCGAGGCTAACATTTTATATTCCAGAGGCACTGTAGACTACTAAATGCGGGTATGTAATGGGTGCTCCATATATCACGTGATCTATCACGTCATAAACTGTATTTATAAGTAGTTAATAACACTTAATGTAACATTTATGCTTCTTGCACATCAGGTTATAGCCCTCTCGTCACTTCCACTGCAAACACAGCGTCTGTTATTTTCAATTGAAATTGAACAACATTGGTTTTCGGGCTCTCGTCTTCATGTACACAGTTGTGAATGTAGCAACTAACCCACATTTTAACAACGTCATCTTTTACAATTAAGCCCTCATCAGAGGCAAATGTAGAACAACATGTGACAGTCTTAAAGTGGCGTTTTATTCAAACTGAACTCAGAGCTAGATACAAATGAAAATCTTAAAGTAACCAGCAGAGACATGACTGAAAGCCGCCTATTTATTTATAAGACTATGATCTCGTTCCCTCATTTCATACCATTCTCAAAATAGATCATGACCTGTCCTCCGACAAACACCAGCATCTCCGTCTATTTTAATTCAGCTTCATTTTAATGTTAGTAATTTTAGTTATTAAAATAGTTATGATGCATGTGGCTTAGATGACTCACGACTGGTGTTTGAGTCGTCCTGTCTGCAATCTAAATTTGTCATTTAAGAATAGATTTGCATGAACTGGGCCAAGGCCTATACTTGGGTCTAATGAGTTGTGGAAGGGTTCATGACATGTATGATGTTTAATATGGTTGGAAGAGTTCAAGCCTTATTTGTTAGGCAGCAGCCTAATGATAACCAGGCATGAGCCTGTAGCACATCAAGAATCATCATTAGATGTTGGTTCCTTCAGCAGCAGCTGTCACGATCCGTGAGAGTCGAATTGCGTGCGTGTGGGGATACGGGTTAGCGCGCCTTGGCATCACGTTGGATGACTGGGCACAGCCGAGGGAGATATCTTAGAGAGAGTCGAGAGTAGCTACCTCCTCTCTTCGTCTTTTATTGCCTTTACAAGCGTACCTCTTGATAGCAATATAATAACTTATTGTTGTGGTTATGAGCTGTGAGGTATATAGCAATTATGTCTCTGCTGTCTGTCGGTGGAATTACACGGGCTCATGTGCAATGGTGTGTCGCGGAGATGGCGCGCTCACGCTGGGTGATGGCACAATGGACATTGAGTGCTTATCACTGTGGCCAAATGGGTGTCAGTAGGTATCAAATGTGAACTCTTACTGACGATGGTGATCTATGAAGGTGATGCTAGAT